ACAGCCGGTGAGTTGGAGCCTCGGTTGTAGCAGAGTGAGTAGGAAGTGATGGCCCTCAGCCAAGAAGCCTCCTAGTTAAATGTACAATTTTAAGAAGTTAAGGCTAAATGGTTTGAGGTTCAAAATGTGGTGCTTGCTACTCCCGAGCGCGAGGCTTCCTCCACTGAGCAAGTAAATAACTTGGAGGCAGCCTTGGATTCCAAGACTGCAGAAGCCGTTGTTGCTGAGGAGAAGCGTGCCCAGATGGAGGATAGGTATAAGAGGATCATGGAACATAATAAGGTTCATAAAACCACCATCTGTGATCTTGATCTTCGCCTTAGCGCCGTGAGATCCGAGCGGGATGTCCTTTCGACCGAGGTTAAGCAGCTTAAATCAGAACTCCAGCACCGAGCGGATGCCCTCATTATTGAAAAAACACATTCTATTTATAGCATGAGGAGACAAATCTTAGAAGATTCCAAAGCGTGCATCATTGATATTGATGCCGAAATCACAAGGGCCCTAGAGCTGGCATCAATCGCTCGAAGACGCCTCCCTGCTCAGCCCGATGCAACTGACTCTTATTGTTCCGGTTTCGAGTTCTCGAGACCGAGGAGGAACTTGAAGAGGACAATGATGAAGGATAAGATCCCGAGCTGACGGCAGATCCGCCTACTTCCCCTGAGGGCGCAGATGCTTCTTTCACCCACGTTCTGGGGGTGATATAGTTTAGTTTTTTTCCTTTCTTTTTCCTTTGTTCATTTCTTTTCGTATTTTTGTACTTGTGGTAGTTGGCACGTTTGATATATAAAAGTGATTTTCGTTTAAGCATTGTGCAAAGTTTACTTTTTGGCGTCGAATTATGCAAGGAGTGCATTTCCCCCCGATAGCATTTGGGTTTCGGGCATAAACTCTTACGGTGCTCTTGAAGAGGATGTCTCATGTTCATTCCGATACTAGCATTTGAAGTACTTGATTAACTTTCAAATGATAAAATCAATTCATTATTTGGATAAGAAATAATATAAAAATAAAAGGACTTTATTTTATTCCTTCTATCTTCAAAAGTACATAAACATTCAATTTGTTGAAAAAGAAATTGCCATTACTAGTGGCTAATATATACAACTTGTTTCTATAGGGCTGACTAGGCAGTCCCCGATCCCGATGCGACATTTCTGTTCCCGAATTTCATAGTCCCAGTTTCTGTGGCAATTAGGTTGTCGTATTCTCATATCATTCTTTCCTAGTGTTCGAATGTAAAGTGTAGCACCCCTGAAAATTTCAAAGTGCTTAAGTGCTATTAAGAAAGTTGATGCGTGCTAAATACATTATTTTATGTGCAGACGAGGACTATTAATATGATGGATATTAATTGGATATGATAATAAGTGTATGAGACATATTATAAGTGATGTGAGGTCTAAGGAGAGCCCTAAATCCAAGTCAAGTTGGAAATTATATGATAGACTAAAAGTTTCAAATGAGTACGCGTAAGACCTAACTTTGGATGAGTATATATAGATAAATGTAAGGAGTTATGTGGTGAACAACCCATAAAATGAAAGATATTTGAGTCTAGTTTCTAACCCTTTAAACCGTTCATCATTTGGGCATTCCTACAAGAAGTTATCATCAAATTACCAAAGGCGTGCAATGAATTACTGCCATAGCGTCCAGGTATGTATCCGGGCTTGGAGGAGGAGTGAACTGGGGAAGCAAAGCATCCTGGCCCGCATATGAACCCCATAAATTTGGGCCTATAAGTACAAAATCGGGGAAAAAGAGTATTTTGAGTTTTGGGGTTAGGGTTCTTGAGGTGAAGATGCGATTTTAAGCTCAAATCAAGTCCAACCAACTAAGGTAAGTTGTTAATGATATTTTGGGTTGATTCTTAGTCAATATACATGCGTTCTAATATCATTCTTGCATCCAAATACTGGATTTCATCATCAAATCCTCAAAAACACAAAAATCACCAAAGTTGTGATTTTTCAACATTGATCTACTAGAGGTAATTCTAATGCTTCAAATGAGTAGTTAGAAGTATTTGAAGCATTTGTTACAAGTTTTAATGGTTGAAAGATTGGATTATAAAACTCTAATTCATGGAATGAATAGTATTTTTGAGAAAATAAGAGATAAGATGAATAGTAATAGTGGCGTTGAAATTGATGAATACAATGAACCTATGAAATTATTTGTTAGCAAAAGTTGGAAGTGATCAACTAAGTAATCGCCCGAATTGTATATTTTGCAAGGATTGATTATGGAAGACGACGAGTAGTAACTTGGTGGCATTGGAAAATTGATGTAGTATCATTAATGACTTCAAATGGGTATTAAAATATAAGAATGAAGTTGAATGGACTAGCATGTGAATCTATTCGGCGATTTGAGTTTTTGGAGGCTTGTAGCCAACTTATGAGCCATAAATGGATATTGATCAATATTTTAGGTCATATTTTGATGTAATAAGGATACTGACTTGTTTGTGATGCTTGAACATTTTAATCAATATTGGAACGATGGAAGAAGATTGAAAGCTTGTGAACATTAATTAAGCGAAAGTGAGGTAAGTTGATTAAAACTTGCTCTTCTTGAGGGATTTTCTCTAAAAGCATGTTTCGAGTTAATACTTAAATTATTTGCAAATGTGCTTTTGTGCTTGTGGGGACAAACAAATACGGATGTCTCCATGTACTAAAATATTATGCTGCCTATGTAGTGTCATGTTGTTTTATAAAATTTTATTTTAAATCCTGTTGGCAAAATGACACTTAAGGTAAATGTTATAAGTTTTTGTCAAAACTTACGTATTGATAAAAGTATACCTATTTAAGTGCTAAAGATAAGTTTTCATGAAACGTATTTCTTTTGAACATTGATAAATAGAATAGAAGTTGTGGTATATTTTAAAGATTGATGTTAAATTGCTAAAGGCTTTAACATGTAAAAGGCTATTTATTTAATTTTTGTTCAAATGGTTTAGATTTTCTATTAATGCTATGATTTGATTAAAAAAATAGATCCTTTGAGGTTACTATGCTATGAATCTATTTTTGAAGTATCAAATATTTTGGGAGTTACTTGTATTCACTGAGATTGACTTCGGATATATTGTGTTCGTCTTCATGAAACTACACATGTCGGTGTAGGCGTAGATGGCCACTTTGTGGTATAGACTACGGCAGAGTGCTCTTCCTCGAGAGGGGTACTTGTACTATTATTAGCATGGCTGAGTCGATTCGTATGATACTATGATGAGACGACATGAGCAAGTAGAGTAAATGATATTTGACGCTAGGTACATAACCTAATTGTCCTTCTTGTGTCGGTGATGGTATAATACTCCCAGTGAAAGGTAAGGATGATTTTCTTATATTTAGGCCTAAGGAACCGAAAGTGATTTCAATGACTTGATGCGAACAGAGTGATTTTGTATGATTTTATTCAAAATCTTCGATTGATATAAATATTTTAAAAGCTTATATTGTGGGTTATATTTCACTTGTCTTTTATTTAAAATGATAAAGATCATGAATTGATAAAATTTCTTATCATTTTATATCAAATATTGGTGCATTATTTTTATAAAGTTTGTCCCAAGAACTTCGGTTAGAGAGAGTCTATGACACTTATTGAGTATCATCGTGGTGTACTCAGCCCTTAGGGCCCCCTCTCCAGGGTCCCATTTTCTTTACGTATTTCAGCATAAGGTACGACACTCGATGTGTGGACATGGACATGATGACTCTCTTTTCGAGGTATTATGAAGCACCACTTTTATTTCGTGGTAGCTATCATGTTATTTCTTATTTTCTTTTGTTGGAATTATTCCAAGTGTTGGTTCTATTCTTTGGTATAGAGGCTCCATAAATAGTTGTGTTGGATTGTAAAAATAGGATTGTGGACGTCACGCATAAAGTAAATAATTATTTTATTTAATTATATCATTTTTATGAAAAGTTTCATGTATGATTTTGGAAATGAAAAATATGTTGTGACTTGACTTGAAAATGTAAAAGCTTTTCAATTGGCTTCCGAAATTATACTCGGTCTTGACATATGGGTTGGTTCGCTCGGGTTGGGTAGTGTGACGGGTGCTGGTCACGTGAATTTGGGTCGTGATACAAAGAATGCAAATGGGAACACTAAAAGTCTTGATCCTTTGAGGATTCCACTAGTGAATGGTTGGATAATCTTTGGTCCGGTAGCAAGCATAGTTTCCCGATCGGAACTTTGCCACCAAGCCAAAAATTATCTAACCACCCCCCTAGTGGCTTGTGGGGAAGGAGCACTCGTGAATGATTGGATAACCTTTGGTCCAATAGCAAGCTTTGTTTCCCATTAGGAACTTTTTTATCGAGCCAAAGACTATCTAACCATCCCGCAGTGGTTTGTTGTTTCCATGCCTTATCATTTAAATGTCTTATTTTTGCAGATGGTGTTTCCTTTGTAGTATGCTTTTTGTTGCTGCCTTGTTAAAAACCATACCAGAAAAACCCAATTGGGTCCAAAACTGGATGACGGAAAAAAGAGTGTAGCACATACTTTCTGTATAAGCGGTGTTCATCGGCAATAATACCTTTTGATGTGGGTCACATTCAAGTTGCTTGGCAACTTTACTCCGGCATGGTTTTCCAGTTCATATGATCCTTTCCCGGTGACAACTGAAACCCGGTAGGGGCCTTCCCACGTCGGACCCAGCTTCTCTTCGTTGAGCTCTCAGGTGTCTTGAGTCACTTTTCTTAAAACCAAGTTCCCTATTTTGAAATAACAGAGATTGGCTCTTCGATAATAATATCTTTCCATTTTTTATTTCTTGGCCACCATCCTTATGTGCGCCAAGTCCCTGCATTCTTCAAGCAACTCCAATTTGACTAGAGGTGCTTCATTGTTTGTTTCTTCGTCCACCCGAAAGTACCTCAAGGTAGGTTCTCCTACTTCCACCGGGATCAAAGTTTCTGCTCCGTATACGAGAGAGAAAAGTGTCTCTCCCATGCTTGACTTAGTCATTATCCGGTATTCACATAGCACTCCCGGTAACTCTTTGGCCACTTGCCTTTGGATGCTTCCAATCTCTTTTTGAGATTTTGAATAATCACCTTGTTCGTCGACTCCGCTTGGCCATTTGTGCTCGGATGGTATGGAGAAGATGTAATTCTTTTGATTTTCATGTACTCAAGAAATTTTGTGACCTTTGTGCCTATAAACTGCGGCCTGTTGTCGTAGGCTATCTTCTTTGGTATTTTGAACCGGCAAATTATGTTCTCCAATAGGAAATTGAGCAATTCGCGCTCGCCGATTTCTGGTAAGGACCTGCTTCAACCCACTTAGAGAAGTAATTAGTTAAAATCAAAAGAAACCTTACCTTATCAAGAGCTGAAGGCAGCGTACTGACTATGTTCATCCCCCATTTCATGAATGGCCATGGCGATAATATCGAGTGCAATAGCTCTGCCAGCTGGTGTACTAACGACGCATGGCGTTGACTCTTTTCGCATTTCTAAATGAACGCCTTAGCATCTTGTTCCATCCGAGGCCAGTAGTATCACGCCCTAACTAATTTTAACACCAACGAGTCCTCCCCGAATGATTTTCACAAATTCCTTCGTGAACATCCCTCATGACGTAATTAGCCTCGAAGGCTCCTAAGCATCGGGCCAACGGGCCTTGGAATGACCTTCTATATTATTGTCCTCCTCAGAAGTTGTAGAGGGTTGCTTTGGTGCGGAGTGCCCTGGATGCCTTCAGGTCCTCGGGCAGTTTGTCGTGCTCAAGGTAGTCGATGATTTCATTTCTCTAGTCCTAGACTAAGTTGGTTGCGTTTACTTCATAATAACCGTCCACATCCAATACCGAGTGCATGATCTGCATGACCGTACCAGAATCTGATCCCTTTATTTTTGTTGACAAGCCTAGATTGGCTAGTATGTCTGCTTTCGCGTTTTCTTCTCTTGGGATGTGGGTGATTGGCCATTCTCGGAACCTTTCAAGAAGAGTTTGAACTTTCATTACATACTGTTGCATGATTTCCTCTTTGGTGTCTAAGATTCCATACACCTGGTATACTACTAGTTGGGAATCACTTTTGAATTCAATGACCTCGAAGTCTAGTCCCCGGGACAATTCAAGTCCTGCAATCAAAGCCTCATACTAGGCTTCATTGTTAATCAAGGGAATATTTTTTATAGCCTGCCTCAGGGTTTCTCCTGAGGGCATAATTAAGACTACCTCGAGCCCGAGCATTTTCACATTGGAAGCTCTGTCCATGAACAGGGTCCAAACTCCTAATATCGTTTCCGACACCATCACCACTTCCTTGGTGGCCAAAGGCAGCAGCCCGAGACTTAAATCGGCCATGAAGTCGTAGGTTTATATTCGATGTCAAACTCGCAGTCCTAGGTTTATATTCGATGTCAAACTCTCTCATTTTTACTGCCTACTTGGCCAATCGACCTGACAATTTAGGTTTGTTAAGGACATTCCGCAGGGGAAAGGTTGTCACCACGACTATCGGGTGGCATTAAAAGTAAGGCCTAAGCTTTCGAGCGATGACTACGAGAGATAAAGCTAATTTTTTGAGGTGCGGATAATGAGTTTCCGCTCCCGTTAAATTTTTTATAACATAATAGATAGGAGATTGCGTACTTACGTCTTCCCGGACTAGAACGACACTTACCGCTACCTCCGAGACTACTAAGTACACTAGCAATTGTTCACCTTCCTCCGATTTTGATAGTAACGAAGGGCTTGATAAATACCGTTTCAGGTCTTTTAGAGCTTGTTGGCATTCCGGAGTCCATTCAAAGTTCTTCTTCTTCTTTAGAAGTGGGAATAAGTCATGGAATTTTTTTGAGGACCGAGAAATGAACTTGCTTAGAGCGGCCGGTCTTCTGGTTAGCCTTTGCACTTCTTTCACATTTGCCAGCTGGTCTGGAATGTCCTCGATGGATTTAATCTTGTCGAGATTGACTTCGATCCCCCTTTGTGACACCAGGAAGCCCAAAAATTTACCGGATCTAACTCTGAATGCAAACTTTTTGAGGTTAAGCTTCATGTTGTGCTTCCTTAGGATGTGAAAGGTTTCTTGAAGGTGTTTCAGATGGTCACCAGCATTCAAAGATTTAACCAACATATCATCTATATAAACTTCCATTGTTTTCCCTATTTTCTTTTCGAACATTTTGTTCATGAGCCTCTAATAAGTGGCTCCAGCGTTCTTAAGCCCCAAGGGCATCACATTGTAACAATATGTGCCAAAGTTCGTTATGAACGAAGTTTTTTCCTGATCCCCCGGGTTTATTTTTATTTGGTCGTACCCGGAATAGGCATCGAAGAAACTCATCAACTCGTTCCTGGTCGTGTCATTAATCATTTGATCAATATTTGGCAATGGGAATGAGTTTTTAGGGCACGTCTTATTCAGATCTTTATAATCTACGCACATGTGAAATTTATTATAGATTTTTGGAACTACTACTACATTATCTAGCCAGTCAGGATACTTTACCTCCCAGATTGAAGCGATATCGAGTAATCGAGTTACCTCCTCTTTGACAAACCTATTTCGGATCTCGGCAATCGGGCGCTTCTTTTGCCTTATCGGAGGGATGCTGGGGTCCAAGCTTAACTTATGTACGACCACCTCTAGTGGGATAACTGTTATATCCGCATGTGACCAAGCAAAACAATCAATATTAGTGTTAAGAAATTCTATAAATCCTTACCTGAGCTCGGTGTTTAATCCTATCTCCAAGTGGAACTTCCTCTCTAGGATCTTCTCGAACAATGCGACTTGTTTGAGTTCTTCTGCCGTGGATTTGGTTGCGTCCATTTCTTCCGGTACCTAAAAATACCTTGGTACCTGATAGGATTCCGATGACTTCTCTATTTGTCGATTTCATTTGGTTCAAGAGCGGACGTCGGCTCCTATAATTGTTATGCCGCGTGTTCCTTCCCTTTACTGCTGGTAACCGAGATCGCATTAATTTCCCTTGTTGCCAGTTGATCTCCTCTTATTTATTTGATTCCCTATGGGTTTGGGAATTCAGAAGTTGGTGATATGTTGATGGCATAACCTTCATCTCATGTAGCTACGGTCTGCCAAGAATTATGTTATAGCCTATGTAGACATCCACTACTTCAAATAGGGTAGTCTTCATAAACCCTTCGTCGTTCGTAGGCATCAGGACCTCCCCTCGAGTTGTCACACTTGCCAAGTTGAACTCGGCGAGGAGCTTTGTAGCCGGAATGATGCTTTCGGTTAGCTTGGCTTGCTCCAACACTCTCCATTGAATGATATTGGCTGAACTTCCTGGGTCCACCAAAACACGTTTAATTTTAAAACTCAAAATGTTAAGAGAAATTAACAGGGCATCATTGCGCCGTAGTAAAAGTCCATCGACGTCCTCCTCTGTGATGGTGATATCGTCCTCAGCGACTTCCCGAAGTCTCTTGCTGGGAGTCACTGATACCTTTGTCTTTTTTGTTGCTGAAAATGTTAGAACCTTAATCTCGTTCCCACCGAAAATCATGTTGATCATTAGTCGAGGAGGATCTTCTCCTATCTTTGAGGGATGTGCGTTGTTAGAGTTGCGGTCATAGTTATTTTTAACCCGGTCGCTTAAGAACTCTCTGAGATGGCCATTTTCAGCAATGTAGCCACTTCCTCTCGCAGATGTCGTCAGTCCCCAGTCCAATGGCTGTTAGTTCCATGATGCTCGCACCATAGATTGGGGTCCATGTGGCTGGGGTCAGATCTTTTCGACCTTGGGAACCGTGCTTCCTTGATGCTCCTCATCACCGATACCAGGTCCACTATGCTAACATTAAAATTGTACCGGGATAGGTGGAATCTCGGGGGCCTTATACCTTTTTGTCCTGCAATGACCTGTTATTCCGGTCGCGGGTAGTTCTTCTATCAAGAGTGAAGTTGTCTGCCGATCGAAAACCTCTATTGCGTCCTTTGGCCCTTTCGTAGGGCAAACACCGGCCTATAAAAGATCGTCGATCTACGTCAAAATCATCATTCGACTTATCCTTGTTTTTTTTTCTCGATCCAGACCCTTGGTTGATACCTGGAAACCGAGCTAGTCGTCTTTTATTCATATCTTTGATTCGTACTGGTTGTGGACATCTACCCATGTAGTTACTTGGAACTCGAGCAGGCTTTCTTTTAGTATTTGGGAAGCGTCAGAGCTCCTCGGGTTCAACCCTTTAGTGAACGCCTCAGCCGCCCATTCATCCGGCACGACCGGTAACAACAACCTTTCTTTCTAAAACCTGGTCACGAACCCCCGCAACAATTTGGATTCTCCTTGTACAATTCTGAATATGTCATCCTTACGGGCCTGTACCTTCCTGGCCTCGGCATGGTCTTTGATGAATAATCTGAGAGCATCTCGAAGGAATCTATTGAGTGCTCGGGTAAAAGTGAATACCATGTCAGGCCCCCCTTCGTGAGGGTTTCTCCGAACTTCTTCAGCAGGATCGACTCAATCTCGTGTGGAGCTAAGTCATTTCCTTTCACCGCCATTGTATAGGTGGTGATGTGCTCCTGAGGATCCGAAGTCCCATCATATTTTGGCATATCTAGAATTTTGAACCGCTTCGAAATCAGCTCTGGTGCCGCACTCGGTTTGAATGACAATTGGGTGTATTTCTTTGAGTTCGGGCCCTTCAGCCCTGGTGGTGCACCCGAAATTTGGTCCATTCGAGCATTTATTTCCCGCATAAACCGCATAAGCTTGGTTTTGAAGGGATCATTACCGTTGTTACCAGATCCCTAGAGGTGTTGTTATCAACCCTTTGCGCTATTTGATTTATGGGAGCACCGGGAGGAACTGGACCTCTTCCCTTCACGTTGTTGGAGGCACCCGACAACGCTTGCCTCAATTTTGTCATGGCCTGGTCTTGCCGTGAGAGATGACCCATGATGGCCTTTTGTTGTTCTCTCAGGATCCTCTCCGTTTCCACAACGTGCTTGTCTTCTGCATCATGAGGAGTCACTTCATGTAGATGTCAGGAATATTGCCCGCCATGAACCGGTGTGGCTACGTCCTACTCGTTGCGGGTGTCGCTGATCGAATACTCGTGTTGAGGCAAGCTTTCATATGCCTCAACGTTGTGTGCGATGTTGACATCGTTATGTGCCATCTTTTATGATTTTTTTGCTAAGAAACAAAGAATCAAACAGATTAGTAATAGATGCAAAGATCAATTCAATTACGCAACTGTTTAGGCCCCACGGTGGGCATCAAACTATTTACCCGTAAAAAGGTACAATTGAATTTATAGTGTGGTTTATGGACAAGCGAATTGATTTGATCCCAAAATAATAAATAAATTAAATTAAATGCAAGACTTAGCGTCAAAATCGAGATAAGATAGCAGACAACTTGGTTCTGAGAGAAAGGCTTCCGAAGGCAGTAATAAGAATATTGATAGACAGAAAACAAAGTATTATTTAGCTTGGAACAATGCCAAAATTCTCTGTAACGGA